GCTGCCATCGCTAAGGAGCGATATTCGGCCTCAATAGAAGAACGAGCAATAGTTTGTTGCTTCTTAGCTTGCCAAGATATGAGTGATTTGCCAAGAAAATGACAATTGCGAGAAATGGATTTGAGATCAGTTACATCTCCTGCCCACTCCGAATCAACATAACTACGCAAATCAAGATTGTCCCAATAGAGAGGAATGCATTGTGACATGGTGGCTTGAATATAACGTAAAAGCCAATTGAGAGAGTCAAAGTGACACAACTGTGGCTTATGCATGTACTGGCACACCTGCTGAACAAAAAATGCAATGTCGGGACGAGTAAGAGTAAAATACTATAATGCACCTGCCAATTGACGATATAGAGAAGGGTTCGACAAATCAGCAGTAGTGACAGGCTTCATGGACTTCTTCGTAGAGCTAGGAGTAGACACCGGTTTTGAGTTGTTCATGCCAGCTCGAAAAAGTATGTTTTACGCATACTGAGTCTGAGTTAAATGAACTCCATATAAGGTAGACACAACTTGAATACCAAGAAACTGAGACAGAGAACCCAGGTTGCGCATAGAAAACCAGTGTTGTAAATCAAAGAGTAGCCGATTTATGGTGGTATGGTCATTTCACGTTAGTAAAATATCATCTATATATATAAGAATGTAGAGAAAAACAGAACCTACATGATAGCTGAGGAGCGAAGGATTAGTCTGACTGAACTGAAATCCAAATTGTTGAAGGTGATGCGATAGTGTTTCATACCACTGGCGTGGAGAGTGCTTTAGCCCATAGATAGCTTTTCAGAGACAACAGACATGAGTTGGATGAATAACATCATAGAAACCAGACGGTTGAATCATAAAAATAGTGTCCGTAAGCTGTCCATGCAGGAATGCATTTGAGACATCCAATTGGATGATGGGCCATTTGGGATGCAGTGCAACGTGAATAAAAAGTTAAATTATCAGCATTTTGGCCACAGGACTAAAGGTTTCAGTATAATCAAAACCTTCTTCCTGATTGAAACCTTGAGCTATTAGGCGGGCCTTGTAGTGAGTAGCAGAACCATCATATTTGAACTTAGTGCGGTATATCCACTTGCAACCAAGAAGGTTTTGGTCAGGAGATGGTGGAACCAAATCCCAGGTACCCTGAGATTATAAAGCCTGAAATTCCTGTGACATGGCCTTACGCTAATGATCAATTTTAGAGGCTTGGTTATATGAAATCAGATCAGCTGAATTAAGTACATGAGCTAGATTAAAAATAATTTTTGTCTTTGTAATTCCACTCTATAATTGGGTGATCATAAGTTGGACCGAGGAAACAAATTATGGAGGCTGTGGAGAGACCACTAGAGCAACATATAAAGATGGAGCAATTGGTGAAATTGGCATAGACTGTTGTGGTGAAGTTATTTGTGTGGATAATGGGGTTTGTAATGAAGCCTGTGATGAACAAGAGGAGATATAGGACGGTAAGCTGGAAGCAGGAACTAGAATAAGTGGTGGAAAAGAAGTTGGTATTGAAGTAACAGGTGGTGTATACGAGAGCTGAAGAAAAGGGTAGACGGATTCATTGAAAATTACATGTCTGGACGTATAGACTTTATTGGTGGATGGATCCAAACAGCGATTCCCTTTTTGAGTCGAAGCATATCCGATGAAAACACATGGAACAGAAAGAGGAGATAATTTGTGAGGACTATATAGTCGTAACCATGGATAACAAAGACACCAAAAAATGCATAGATGATCATATTTAGGAGAATGACCATAGAGTAGTGCATAAGGTGAAGTATTTTGAGTGTTGTGAGATGGAAGACGATTGATGAGATACACAGTAGTTAGAAGAGCATCAACCCAAAACTGAGGAGGTAAATGTGCTCCACTGAGAAGAGACCGAAGAAGTTCAATAATATAGCGATGCTTTCTCTCGGCAACTCCATTTTGAGGAGTATACGGGCATGTGAACTGGAATAATGCCACAATGTTTTAAAAGAGTAGAAAAGGATGTATTGACATACTCCCCTCCACCATCAGTGTGTAATATATGTATATATGCGGCAAATTGACATTCAATCAGCTTTTTAAATTCAATAAACTTAGACAAGGCATCAAATTTCTTAAGTATAGTATACACCCAGGTAAATTTGGTGAAATAATCTATAAAGGAAATATAATAACGATAACCAGTATTGGAATCGACTGGAGCTGGACCCCAAACATTAGAATGGATTATAGTAAAGGGTGTAGTACATTGAGACGAAGAACTAGTAAAGGGAAGTCAGTGACTCTTGGCCAACCGACAGGTATTACATAAAGAGGAAGTTACTGTAGTACAAATTTCATAGTTACTTTTAGCTAGATAGATAACATTGTAGATGATGGATGCCCCAATCTTTGATGCCGAAGGTCAGGAACTGCTTGTACTGAAACAAGAGCTAAACAGATGAGGATAATGAGGAAGCGGGTTGAACACGAAGCGGGTAGAGTCCGTTAATACATGGACCCTGAAGAAGAAGCTGCTAAGTCTTCCGATCCTTAATAATATAACCAGAAGAAGAAAAAGAAACATCGCAAGAATTGTCAGTGGTTAGACGATGAACAGAGAGGAGATTAAAGAAAAGATTCGGAACATGATGAAGCTTATGAAGTTGTAAATTACCAGCCAGAGTTGGAAGAAGACCTTTACCAGTGTTTTGAATGGGAATAGATTGGCTATTTCCTAAAATCACCTGATTAGAGCCAGTATATGGCTGAGAAGAGTGAATGTAGCTTGGATCCGATGTTAAATGCGAGGAAGCCCCACTGTCCAGATAACAGTCGGCCGAAGATGGTGAAGTAGCTGGGGTGAACAGAGCAGCTAACGGTTCTTGATTATACTGAGGATCATGATGATACCAACACTTTATCGCCGAATGACCCTGTTTACCACATATTTGACAGGTAACAGGTGATCGAGGAAATTTACCACCACGGTTTGGTGGAGCAAAAGAAGGCAGGCCTTTTGAAATAGAGGCGGTTCATCCACGAAATGAAGTAGAACGACCTCGTCCACGTCCACGAGGTGCAGCAAGCTCAACTGAGTTGCCCATGAGCTGAAGAGAACTAAGTTCACGAGTTACTTCATGTGCCAAATTAAGTTCTTCACTACACAATAAAGTGTATAAATCATCTAAAGATAGTGGTTGAAGATTAATCCTAATAGCTGTTTAGAATGTCTGATACGATGCTGGGAGTCCGTTGAGAGTATAATGAATAATATCTTATGGATCAACCGGAGATCCTACTGCAGCAAGTAAATCAGCTTTGGATTTGATACTGAGAAGGTACTGTGCCATAGTCTGATCCTTTATTGAGCAATGAAATAGCTCATTCTTAAGCTGACTTATGTGAGAATGAGTAGAAGACTGAAGACGTCTGCCTATCGTTATCCAGATATCTGCACAATGATCAAGGGGCAAAACATATGGCAATAACTCCGGTGAAATTATTGAATACAAAGCGGCAACTAGATTTTGATCAATCAAAATCCAAGTATTATAGGAAGTATTAATAGATGAACTGCCATCAATTTTGGTAATATATTTTGCTGGACATAAGCAGGATCCATCAAGAAAGCCTTCAAACCCATTTGCACGAAAAAGTTTAAGGACTTAAGATCGCCAGGTAGGATGATTTCCAACAGTGAGTGGAGTTGCAATGACATTCTTAAAGTTTTTCATTAAAAACTTGAGTTGAGACGGAATCAGAGTTTGATCCAATGACAATCCAGAATTGCCATATGTTCATGACTGAACAGTTTGAGAATCAGCTGACTGATTCATCTTGAATCACAAAAAAGAGGAGATCACAAGATGGTCTGCTCTGATACCATGTTAACTATCTGTAAGCAAAGCATAAAAGAAGAGAAATATATAGAACATAACAGGGAAACTGAGAGAAGATTTTTGTATTCCTTTTTGCTACAGCATATAGTGAATAATACTCTCAAATATATAGATTACTAATAACAAAATATTGTTAGTAAAGGATAGTCCTATGTGGCACTGCACATGTGAAGGGAATATTCTTCAGGTGCATTGTAACGGTTTGATAGTGGCAGAATCTTCTGGATGCTTTGCTGTAACAAGGCGGACGTTCTGGGTGAAATGAATCAAAGGAATGACGCCTTACGTTCTCACTCGCTCGGTAAGGCTCCGTCTGAGCCCAGGACGGACGTTCAGGAAGCTCGATGGCTGATGTCGAAGTTGACGACTCGTCTCCACCTTCCCAGGTGTGTGCGGCTCATCCCACAATTCCGTGTTCTGATGGTGACAGTTGTCATGGAATTAAGAGTGCACTTGAGCATGAAGTGCATAGGGCCAATGTGCCATCTTGCAGGTGTTTAGAAATTCCAACTGCAGCCTCTACCAAGCCTCCACCTACAGGTTTCAGCACTCCAGGTGCTTGTGGAAATTCCTCAAAGATGCAGAAATCAGATTTATCTCAAATTGAGGTTCAAATCCAAAGGTCTGGCTGTGGTATTCCACAAACTCCAACGAAGGGCCTAATCCTTGGAAAGACAACAGAGAAGGGAGGTGATGGAAAGACAACGGAGAAGGTCCTCTTGAACGTGGAATGCGACTGGGAAGAAAGAATTGCCAAAGCGGGCTGTGAAGTGAGAACTGGTCGGATGGGCAAACACCTTTAAGAGTGATAAATTTAGGGAAAAAAGATTTTTGGAGGGGGGCAAAATACCAAAAATATTTTTAAAATATCAAAAATATTCCCTCTAATATATTTTTTTTATTTTTTGAGGGTGGGCATTGCCCACCCTGGCTTCAATGTGGATCCGCCAGTGGATGATATACATTAGTTGATCCATTAATGAAGTGCTATATGATGATGCTATATATATATATATATCCTCTAGGAGAAAATCATCTCTAACCTGCCAATATCCATTACGAAATTTACTAGATAAAAAAAAAAGAGAAATATTATTTTTATTCACTAACATTAACATATTTTTGGATATCATCTCTAGTGCATATTGTATATAAAATGCCACATGAATTCGTGTGAGCAAATAAAACAGAATTTTTTTAATCATAAATGAAATCAAATCGATCCTATGAAAGCGCCAATAGCACTTGATAAAATTCTCCTTGCAACAATCTGAATATTCTTTTCTTCCTTGTTCAGTAACCACCTTGTGAGAGCTCAAACCTGCACTATGGAGCACCAATCGCAGTTGACAAAATCTTCTTCACATCGGCAATATGTATCTCCTTTTCATCCTTGCTCTGCAGCCAAAAAATCAAAACTGAAAAAAAAAAGGAAGAAGTGGGCGAAATGCCATTTTCTCTCTCCATCCAATACCATCAATGGCTTTGAGGACTTCTCAACTCTTACCAAAGCACATCTACTAACCTCTAGGCATAAAACTCCATGTGAAATCCCAGAAAAAGATACTGAGCTCACTTCATTAACCTCTAGTCCAAGCTGGCTAATGTCTTCGAGGAGCTTTGTGAATCCATTGTTCCTCTTCTCCGAAGTAACCTTCAAATAAAATTTGTTCTGCCCCATAGGACTCAGCTCCAACATTCCCTTCCAATATAAAAAAGTTCCTTATTTTAATTATACTTCTGCAACCAAAACCAAATCTTTTAATTTTGTTTTAAAGCAGAATTATACCTGGAACCTCACTGTATCTTGCGAAGCCTTAGTCGCAGTGCTTGACGAACTTCCCTGTTTCTCTCCCCCCTCTGTCCCAACAGTGGAGAGCTCAATCTGCAAATCAACTATCTGCTTCTGAAGATGTTTGATGTAGTCGATGGCGTCAGTGAGGGTAGACTCTTTGCTCATCTAAGGAATTATAGAAAAAAAAAATTGAATTTTAAGCATTGAGATTGAATTAATAAGAGGAAGGAAAGGCGATTGACTGCCTTTGTGATGTTGGGAACCAAAGCACGAAGAGAGAAGAGCTGCTGGTTAAGCTTAGTTCTCCTCCTCCTTTCGGCATCAAGGTTCTTTGATTTGAACTTGGGCTCAACGGTAGGATCAGGGAAATCGTTGAAGCCATCGAGGCCTTCAAGGACGGAGTCAATGAAGTCCATGGTGTCGGTCTCGATGGAGAATTCTCTCGGCCTGCGAGGCATTGGAACTCGTCCTAGTAAGTCTGGAAATAGTAGTGGAGGTATTGCCACTTTCTAATGAGAAGAGAGAGAGGTGGGAGTTGTGTGGAATCTCATGAAATTTGGACATGGCCGTACTATTCTCTGGTTTCGGAGGTGCGGTTCGCAAGGTAACCGTTAGCAATGCATTGATTGGCTGCCGGCCATCTCTCTCACTCTCTCTCTCTTCCTCTTTCGGAGAAGCTTTTGAATTGAAATTCGCATATCAAAACTAATTATCTGAGGTTGTTATTCACGCTTTTCATGGCTTATTTAGCTTGACTCAATTAGTTATGGAAATTCAGCTTTTTCTCTAGCATGGCGGGAGGCTAAGTTTTTCGTGGTTTCCCCTAAACGGAGGAGACGTCGGGAGGCTGACGAAATTTTGGATGAACATAAGATCACACTTTTGGACTTGATTCGAACATCGAATGAACAAGCCTTGGACTGAATATAATTTGAACTTAAATTGAACTTGCAGATTGGACTAGAACTCAAATTTGACCTAAGAATGATTTGAATATAAAATTTAAATCAAACTTAATCAAATGACGTTTGACAGGAGACTCGTACTTGAACTTGAACTCGAACTTGTGAACCTTTGAACAAAATTTGAACTTGATTGAATCATATGCAATGGAACTCAAGTTCAAATGAACTAAATGCAAGAGAACTCAAACTTAAATAAACTATAAAGGACTACACTTGAGCTTGAACTCATATTGGACTTGAGTTAGAGCATGATCTTGGACTCTAAATGATATTGAACCTAAGTTGAACTTGAATAAAATGAATAATCAGTGAAGTACTTGATTTAAAAATATGACATCAAGTTTCCAAATAAAATGGCAAGGGATTGACGCTTCAATTTGAAAGATTAAGAAGTATCTGAGCAATTCAAAAGTCATGCAAGCAAATAAGTAGAGAATAAGCTCTCAATGAAAATGAGTGATGACGACTCAAAGAACTCAAGTGAATTCTAGAAGACTTGTGTTTGAATGTAGGACATGAAACCAGATTATTGGTTTAATGAGTGAGCAATCCAAATACAGAAGTTCAATGAACAAATCTTGATCATTCAAGTGGGTAAACATAAGAAAACAAAGAAGCATAATGGACAAAATAATGCACCCACAAGTATGAACATGGGTATACTACACATGCAATAGTTCACTTGCAAGCAACTACAAAAAGCTTATGAATATTTATGGATAACTATTAATGACAAAGGAAATAATTAAACTTGCAATGTTTAAACTATTGCAAGCAAATAAATTAAGCAATAGACGAGTTTTAATGAATAAAGGGAGTATCCATAAATGGAGCATGAAGAGTAGGTAACGAGCTGCAATGCACATTGCATATCATGTAAGAGCATGGTGTGATGAATCTTCTGTGAGCATGGAATGGAAGATTGTGGTTGTTACAAGAACCTTGTTGTCTATACAATGCATTATCTACAAGCAGACATTGAATGATGAATGTAAATGCCTATGAGTTATGAAGGAGACTTTTCATACACATGGCATGCATTCTACTGATAGATATAGAAGATCTTTAGTTAATACAAATATTTGTAGACAACGCTAGAAGATCTGCGCCCTAGGCAACTTATTCATAGAAGACTAAAAATGTATACGATGAACTTATCTGCATGCAACAAGCAAGCCAACATGCAAATAGGACCTCTATGGATGCAGGCGTATAACACATTATTCAGAAGCAAGAATAAAAAATCACAAATAAAATGTAGAAGAAATTGTAACAAATGAAAGAATATACAAACTATATAGCAGTGAAGTAGTGAATATTACAAAAGCCTATAATCAATGTCAGCATACAACCAAGTGTATCAAATCTTGTAGGCAGTGACCAATGAAAATTATGAAAAATACAATGGCCATTACAATTAATAATGACTGATATGTCATAAGATGAGTATTCAATGCATATGGATATGCATGCAAAGTGTCATATGCAAGCAAAGAAGAAGGTCTGTAATACATACAATCTCTTTATGAATACAGATGTATGTGCAACATATCACTTATGGGTAGATACAGAAATACTTCAGTAAATGCAGTATCCTGTAGTCAACCTCAGTATGCGAATGAATACATCTACCTGTAGCAGTAGTGGATATATTGTAAGGACCAAAACCACAATAAAATATATAAAAATGCAGCGAATGTAGGTTCATACGAGCTTCTGCAAAAGTAGGAGATTCGTTAGTGCATTATAATCCATTTGTAGAAAGCAATAAGTAAGACACGATAGTCTACCTATACAAAATAACAAACAACTCAATACAGAAATTGCTATGTAATGCAACCAGATCAGTAACATTCATATAAGCGGACATAAGACATTTATAAATATTACAAAATACCCCGCACATACACCATAATTTGTATACACATAGGTACAAAATGAATAAATGCAATCACAAAACCCGTATGGTCCCCGACGAGCGTATTGTAGGAACATAAGTTACATATAGGGATACTGCGCGGATTAATAAATTTGAACCCGATCCTCCTAAAAAGATAAATAGGAGTCGACAAGGTTTAAAATAATTATAAAATGCCCCAAACTCCCACATGGGCCCTGATGAATGTGTTATAAGTACACACGTGATGCCTAGGGATGCTGTGCGGGTCAACAAATAAATTCAAGTTCAAAACTGATCCTTTTATGCGGGTCAATAGGAGTCAATAGAGTTTGAATCATCGAACAAGTATACGGTTATGGGGAATAGTATATTTATTTTAATATATTCATATTAGGACTTCAAAGCTTATAACAATGAAAATTCACTAACAAAGGCATAAAGCTAATGAAACCCGATCCTCTGTCAACAGCTCGATAGAGTAGATAGGGTTCAATCAACAAATGAAAATATCCCAAAACATTCTGATGATGGTCGTGTTGAATGCATATTTCAATTGGAGGGGTTAATTTCAGATATTTCAAAATGCCATCAAACTTTCACAAAATTCAAATACCTTTAAGTAACCTTAAAGTCACCTCAATGATGGCCGCGTTAAATGCTTATCTCAATCATAGGGGTTTATAAACACTTTCAAATGCCTTCCAAGCTCCACCCAAATATCCACAAAAATTCAAAAATAAAAAAATTCAGAATCCTTAAATCCAAAGATATTTAAAATTGAAATAATCCATCGAATCACTTAAAACAAAATCCATGCACCCTCCACAATAATTTGTTGGGGTGGACAAATTAAAATTTATTAGCTCACATAGCCTCGTCAAAAATATCACTAGGAACCATTCTCAAATAATATCATGCTAATAAGGATGTGGTACATGTCATCTAACCTGTTGTTTTACTACGAAATGGTACCGTATGATAAACAGTTATGGCCCAGGGCCCTCTGAACTGAGTTGTTTTGCCACCAAATGGCACCACAAAATGCAGGTTATGGCTAGAGCCAATACATTCCTTAGTGGTGTCAAATTTTTGAGATATGAATCAATAGGATATGATCGATAAGGCACAAAGCCCTTTGTTAGCTATAGTGCATTCAAATTTATCCCCTTATACAAATACTTACCCCAAGTCTATAAGGTACCCTTAGATGAAGCAACCCATGACTGCCGACAAAGATCCTTCTGTCAAGTTGGGTCGACTACCTCCTCTAACTAAGTAGACCAGGGACCACGATGTACCGAGATGTCGAAACCATGGGATCTTGATTGGGTCCATCATCCATTCCCCCACCATCCATTTTAAGTGCAAGATGGTAAAAATTTTTATTTTAAATATCAAACCTTGAACCTTCAACATCCAAACCCTTCAATTTCCAAATACCTAAGCCTATGCTGCTACTATATGATGGATACCAAGTTTCTACGGATATGAAGTATTCATCAACGACTAGCCTTAATCGAAAGTTCTCTCTTATAATCGAGAAGGGTAATTAACTATAAGGGCTTGCGCCTATAGGAAACCAGAACTCATATCATAAAGTCCTCAAAAAATGAGAGCGAAATCTCTTGGTAGTGTCTTATCTACAAACCCATCCTCCTTCCAAAAATTTACCCCAGAACTTATTCCGTTAAAACTCCCTCGAAAGGAAAAGCAGTGTGGGCAAGGGCCGGGGCCAAATTTTTGGAGCCCACCGGTGAGTGCTTCTTTGAGTGAAGGCTTACTGAGGCGAATTTGATGGTTGAACTCACTCGAAATATTTACATTTTCAATCAAGCTTCATTGGGTAAGCTCTTATTAGTATAGAACAGGAGTATAAAAAAGATAATATGATAAAATGTAACCACCTAATACCTAAAGGAGGAACTTAACCTACTTTTTCCACTCATTTATTAATCCCCAATTCAACTTTTATTTTACTAGAGCCATCTAATAATCTAAGACAAGATACAACATACAACATACATCCATAATACTCATAAAAAATAAATCTTCCAAATATTCATAATCATAGTTCATAATTCAATAATTGCATCAAAATACTTAAATAAATTCTAAACTATAAAATCATAAGTACCTTACAAAAATCAAATTTCCTACTCCTTACCAGACCCAATTTCTATGTGGAACCTTTACCTTTGCCTGAAATACTTTAAATAAAAATATGAATATAAAACTCTTTCAGTGAATCCTTTCCCCCATATAAGAGTTCAATTAATAGTTATGAATAAACAAAATAGTAAGGAATTTATATTTTACTATATAGTTTTAGCAACTAAATCACATATTGATATGAATGCAAAAATGCACATATATCAAATGCCCACTTATAACTCTCAATTACCCCTCCCACTTGCTTGGGACAATGTAGAGTAGAACCATAGCAGGACGAAATATGTTTCAATCCTTATATATATATCCATGTACATATGAAATACCAGATTTTCTATAAAGCCCAAATTTTGGTGCCTATTCAAATTTCCTAGAAATTTATCAGTTTTAGAGAAGGTATATAGAATATCAATTTAACTTGTTATGCTAGCTCTCTTGAGTTTCAAAAGTAAGATAATTATACATAAACTTTAAAAATTCACACAATGCAAATTAATTGGTAAAATTTGGTATTCCAATTATCAAATCATAAGGAATAGAATATGTAATGATGTGGGCTCCAAAAATTTAGCGCTGGCCTCCGACTACTATTTTTTATTTAGGTTCGAGGTAGTTTTAAAAGATTAACTT